AGGGGATTGTAATCATGGCAATGAAATGATATACGATAGGATGAATGTAAAACTAATGTTCTTCCATGTAAACTATCACATAATTCACAATAAAATATTTTTTAAAAAAGCATGGAAACATACAAAGATACCTCACTTTAACTTAAGGTGGTGGTGTTGTTAAGTGCTACTGAGTTGATTTCAACTCAGAGCAAACCCTGTTTAGGGTTTCAAAGGCTGTGTATCTTTGCACAAGCAGAATATCTCATCTATCTCCTGTGGAGAGACTGGTAGATTCAAACTGTTGACTTTGTGGTTCACAGTCCAGTGTTTATCCTACAGAGCCACCGTGCTCCCTTAACCTACGGTTGGTGGGCACAGATAGTAAGTGTTTGTGGGAGAAAAGCTTTGACAATCTGATTCTCTAATGGCTACAACCAAGTAGAATCTGATGGGGCAGTTCTACTGTGTCACATGTGATTGCTATGAGTTAAAATGGACTCACTGGCTCCATCACAAAACACATTTCTCTTCTTTTCTTTCATTCTGTCACTCTGCTTTTTTAATATATATAATTCTTTCTGTTCCTTTGCTTGGTCATTCCTTTTGAATAAACTCCACATTGAACTTCTTAACTGTAAGGCCATATGTGGAGAAACAAACTTGGTAAAATTGAAAGAAAAATTTCGGAGACAACAGATGTGCGTTCAGTTTTTCACTTTATTAACCTCTCAGCTTAAATTTCCTCATCTATAAAAAACAAACAATAACCTCCACTTATTTACTTACCCACTTAAATGAGATTATGATGAGGACCAAATATGAAAATGCATGCAAATTCAATGAATGTCAGTATTCCTCTTTCTAGTACCTTCCCTCACTACAAAATCTTGGCACCCTGCCAATAGTCCTGTGTGCTTGATCTATTACAACTAAATTTAGCCAAATGAGTTCCATGCCTATATTTATTCTACATTTACTTTAGTATAGTGCTGTTGTTGCTAAATGCCATGGAGTCAGTTTCTACTCATAGCGATCCTGTATAGGGTTTCCAAGGAGTAGCTGGTGAGTTTGAGTGGCCGACTTTGCAGTCCAGTGGTTATCCTACAGGAATCTACTTTAGTATTGTTGTTGTTGTTGTTGTTAAGTGCCATCGAGTTGATTCGGACCCATAGTGACCCTGTTCAGGGTTTCCAA